GTCAGAAGCTACAGGGCAATGCATTTCCTGGTTCTTGTCAGCACATAACGACGTCCAGCTAATGTTAAGGGATGTACGAAGCACAGCATCTAAGCACGAAGCCAAATTACTGTTATTTTGCACCAGGGACAACTACAATAAACGGTTAATAGGTAACTAATCAAATGCTGATCATATACAAATTTACACGATCCAGTGCATCGTTTTGGGAGAAGCTGAGGACCGCAATTTCCTGTGCATTTAGCTCCGGCATTAAGGTACAAAATGAACATTGGTTGGGTTTGTGATCCAGCAGCTGTACAATGGTTTCACACTTGATGTTTGGACAATGAGTTTGAGTGCCGAACAACAAGTTGCAAACAGAGACACCAATCAATAAACCGGGTTTGAGGGGAGTATACCTTACATCGACAATAAACAACGGTTGTTGGTGGTTTATGTGCAGAAACTCACATCGAATGGATAGGACCTGAAGGTAAATTGGGGGCCCATCCAAATTCGTCGTAGCGGTCCCAAGTGGGTTGTCAGTTCCACTTGACTGTACCAATAGGATGAAGCGTCATCCTTGGGCCAGCCTTCCGGAGCAGCCGTCATCGAGCGACAACTTTTGACACTTCCGGTCAAACATGAAGTGACGTCATCGAAGGAGTTCCCCTGCTTTTCTGGGACGTCAATAGCTGCGGTTGAGAGCGTCGTCGATTCTGTGGTGAAGAATGGCAGCTACTTAATCATGTTATTTGGTGAAAACACTTAATCCATGACTGATCCTTACAGAATTTGACTGTACTTTTGCTAAACTTACACGCTTTTAATGTACAATTTCACGGGATTTGGACAATAAACAGCGTCAAAATGCGTTAATGATGAAATCCAAGCCAGTTTTTAATTGGATCAACAAAAAAGGTGCAGTGGGTGGTAATGATCCACGTCCATCAACCCCCGAAGCCGCCGCAAACTCAAAATCACCACCCCCATTGTCGCGGCGTCCCTTCAATCATGTCTGCAAGTCTGATCATGCACCACTGTGAGCATTCCGCTCACGCCACTAAAACCGCGCACCCTTTTACAATAGCGAAACCTCAAAAGGGACGAGGATCCAGCGTGTCGCCAGGTTTGCACGAATGTCGCCGTCGTGAATGCCAGTACGAAATCATGACGTCAGCGGAAAAAACAGAAACTCGGTGGTGTGGGTGGCTTGCAACGGTGAACATGTTCGCGTGCAGAAATAAACCGCCCTTTTGTATGACTGTTGTGTACACAAGAAAATCACATATCGCGTAACGAAAAAGTTGGAATCAGATATAACGATGCGAAATGCGATCTGCGACCGAAAAAGATGACATACCTAGGATTTGTTTATTTACGGTATAATTAGTCTACGGTTGGTACAAGGTGAACAAGTTTCCACACTACATTTCCGGATGTTCAATTTATGAAAGAGCGCTGTAATAAATATAGACAGAAAATAGTGTCGCATTAATTAAAAGCAAAAAAAAAGGATTAAGATTTTTTCGTCTGGAAGCAAAAAAAATGGATTTAAGAAGTACCAAACTAGGAACGTTTGAGAGATGCCTACCGTTCAAAGTTGACTGAGACTTTTGCAGGACGATGGTTTCACGGTGTTACAATAAGCGTACTTGGTACAGAATTTCATCGGGAAAAAGGTAGAGCGATGAGATTGGGCTGCCCTGCATTCATCGCGGCAAATTCGTGCCTCGCGCATGCACACGGACCACGTTAGGCCGCAAAAGCAGTCCAGATATGTCAATATACACACGCACACACTGTCCCTTATTTACGTAAACACCTGAGGATCATTCCTGCGAAAACACGAACCCACATTAGCAGCACATGATGCTTTGCTAAGCCCCAACACCGCCGAACTCTATACCGCGAACCGATCGACGATTTTGTGGGCTAGACGTCAGTTAACAGCACGCATGTTGCACGCGCATGATAACATGTGCATACAAAAAAAACAAACGGTTTCTGATGCTTAACATGCTGGTTGTAGTAGCCTGGAGTGCGTATGCAGGAGCTAGGCGACACCGAAAACACACAACCACGTGGAGAGGAAACGGTAAATAACCGAAGTGGAAGGTTTATTGGCAACGCAGTAGCAAACATGTAAAAGTACACCCCATGGGAACGTCATGCGAGTGTGCCACCGCAGAGTGCAACGTGACCGTGACATCACCAATGAACGCCCAGCGGGAATTTCAGTACCTGGATTAGGCACAAAGTGACTATAATTTGGGAGAGCATATTGAAACAGACCCGGCAGGGTGTCAAGCGGGGATTCCTCGACGGGCAGAGGAGATGGATGCCTGTGGGGAATTGCGGCCACAGAGACTGACGACGGGAGAGGTGGGGGCGGAGGAGGACGCAGTAAAGTGAGCAGGGGGTGGTTTGAGGGGAACGGGGGCACGCAGAGGGCAGTGTCCGTGCGCAGCCGCCACTGGCCGAGGGGCGAGCAGCACGCCTTGATTGGACTGTCCTGAATGGGGAGCGTGGGGTGTCAAAAATGCCATGTAAAAGTACTTCAAATGATGACGATGATGACGACGATATATCGTCATACAATATCTATACAGCATTTGAAAGCATCAAGAATAGGACAAAAATCTTGGCAACGGCACCAACCAGTTGTTATAAATTGCTAATGGTCAATAAACGCCCCACAAGGCTCACGGTCAAACGAACAAACGTTGTAGTTAACCAGCAGAAATAAAGTGCCTGGTTCACCGAATGGAGCGAGAAAAAAGTGACGCTAACTGCGAATAATTAACGAGCCCAAAATGAAGAAATCCCCCCGTTTGACGCATGAAAAGGGTGATTGGCATATAATCCCACACTAGGCGTTAAGGTCAGCCGAAATCGATTAACAAGCTAGAAATGCTAAGCGAATGTGAAAGATCAAAATAATCACGACAGGGCCCTCAATTTTAACGGACTCAGATATGTGGACTAGGGTGCATCCCCGAGTATTGAGAAGACGGGGTCAAATACCAAACGAATGCAATTGTTTCAGAATGGCAAATTAAAACAATTTTATCACTTGCCTATAACGACAAAGTTATACATGGTTAGAAGCTGAAGAACGAAAACAGGAATACTCACCTGACCTACTTTCTCGTCCGATCCAGTTGGCGCTATAAGAAGCTCATATTCGACTAAGTGCATATCCCAAGTCAATACGAAGAGGGACTCTGAGTACCGGATCCCTGGAACAGAAAGTCACCATAGTGAGGCTTGGGCTTTAACGCTTGCGAGGTCAGTTTTTTAAGTAAAGCCATCTATAAACTGTTTTCCTACAATATTTCGTGTTTATTTAAAGGTTTATACCTGCGTAGTTGGAGTCTTCTGTTATACAACATATCGTGCCAGTTCGGTTGAATTTTGGAAGCGAATGTCTGATCAGACTAAGAGCGGGGGCGAGAATGGCGTAGAGAGTGTGAGGATTCATGCCACCACAGGATCAGACATACAGCCCCCTGTTCACGTTGACACACGCATGACCGAGCAATCCTGTAAGCACACATCTCCTATCACCCATACCACTTACTTGGCGGTTTACTCGAACTCTTTTGGCAAACAATCTTCAGCTTTCGTGTCACTCCCGGCTTACGAAAATGTTCGGCCTCGAATGTCGTTAAAAAAGGATCACAAAATGACTGCTTTCCAAGATACAATGGCTCAGCATCGATGCTCAGAAGCATAAACGAATCGAACTCGAAAACGTAAGTCGCAATTGAAGAAGAGGTTGGTGCTTACACACGTTGATTTAATGACCAGTCATGGCTATTGACAATTATACCTGTCTAACTAACATCTTATCTCGGAATTGCGCATCAAAATGAAACCCAAATTCAACAAGGCATGGAGAACAGACACACACGAACACACACACACACACGTGATACATGCAAATCCATCCTCATTACAAATAATTTTATCGCTTGAGAAAGACGGTGAGTCACGTCTGGCTTGATTAACAGCAGGATTTCCCTGTGCACAAGCTGCCACCGAAAAACGAAACGCAATAATCCAAAAGTGGAAAAAGGAACTTTGCTGGTTTATGTGAAAGGTGGCTGATTCATCGTGGTGGGGGGGGGGAGGAGGAGGAGGAGGAGGGAGGGAGAGGTGGTTATGAGACGCGCGTCAGGATGGCGCCTGCAATTGCGATTTAAAAATAGAAGCTGCAAGATTAAACGGGCCTTTTAGAGCTAGCAATTACAACCGCGTAGAAAGTTACCTCGTCTTGATAGCATGACAAAACGCATGAGGAAATAATGCCAAATTCACATCTTAGATAAGTAACAAAGAACTACAGCGGTCAAGAACGGGCATTATATGCCAAGACAGACGCCTTGGGAAGACGACTTTTGAAGGAGAAAAGTGTAAACCACAGTAAGCTAAAATAAAACGAAAAAGTCGTCAAGGTTACGTGACCGGATTCCGCGCAGAGAAGCCACAAACACCAAAACCATGACAATCCACGAGTTTTATTTTGGGCTAGAAGTTGAGTTGCAGGTAGACAAGGGCTGCTAGCAAATGAAGAAAATGAAAAAGCATGGGAAGTGGAGCAGCATAAACTTGTTGTACCACAGATAACACTGTTTGCCATTTGTACAATTGCCTGATTAAACATCCCATTAAGTTGAATCAGGCGATGTTTAGAAGTTGTGATGCGAAATTCGCAGTGGATGTGTGCGTGTGTGTGTGCGCCAGTAAAGTACGCTCGTGCGCAGTGGGATGGAAGAGAAAGCATTCCTCCCAGTTTAGTGTTACACATCGCTACTGTTGCATGCATTTAACACATACAGTAAGTTTTGATGAGGCTCAGAAAAAAAAACAATTTAGACTTTTTTTGCGGACAAAGACTGCGTTCCAGTGTTACGGAACTAATGGAACATGGTCTGTTTTGGCGTATCCAACACACCCACTCGATGTCGCACCAAGTGTTTGGTTGAAATGGTCAACACCTTTAGAGCAATAATCCTGTGGAGGATTAAAAACGTTGGATGTAGACATGTAAAATCAGGAAGTAGTCTACAAAGGCAGCGACCTCACATTGAATGCAATTATACTGTAACACGTTTTAGTGAACAACAAGCGAACTCATAATTTAAAAGGATTGGACTTGAAGCCTCCTCGAGTTATTGTCATTCTAAATTTGCTTATTCAATGAGGAATGCAATAACGATAGCTGACGGTGTAAGTCACGGCAGATTAAGTCTCATTTGAAAAAGTCCACATCAGCAGCATTATAGATGGAGCGATAAAAGTTACTCTGAGAGAATGTACCCCTGATATCTGGGCGCTTAAATTGGGAGCCAGAAGGTGTTCTGCCTTGCTGAACTGGAATGCAACAAACAGGCGACTGGAAAGAGGCAGCCATTCGAAGAGCCGACATGTTGGCTGGTTGGGGAGCTCGTCCGGGCACGTGGTAGGGAGGAGGGTAGGGTGGAAACCTGGCCACAAAAAAAAACAACCAGAAAGGTTGAATATAACGATGGATAGCAGGAGCAACTCAGCCGCTGTGCTGTGGTTAGTCGTCAAATGCACCTACTGACATATTCAAACAGGTTTCAGTTCAATGTTGTTATAAGGTGACAGCGACAAGTGGCACTTTGCGATCACGACTAAGTCCCAGCACTATATAAAGACAAGCTACAGTGAGGCCACTCACGGTAAGGCGACGGCGGAAGCACCAGCACCGGACACAGCATCAAGCGCGCCGGTGGCGGCATTGATAGCGGCGGCGGTGTAACCGGAGGCGGAGGTGTGGGAGGGCAGACGAGGTCTCAGTCGAGCCTCGGGCTGGAGTTCACATGGCTCGGGGTAGGGCGGTAGACGAGGGTTTATCGTGCTGAATGCGGCATTTGGAGAGCATGCGCACCAGCTCGATTCGTCTGTAAACCGGACAGCCGCAAAAACTACTGAGTAATTCACCGTGAGGAAATAAAATACTCGTTTGCCTCGTCACGCTGCACACCACCTTCTTGACGCGTAAACTGGACATGTTTGCCAGGATTTAATGGATTTTAAGTGAAGTAATTCCAGTGAGGTTTCTTGGAGTGCTACAGCAAATAAGCCTATGAAATAGTACTATATTAATTGAGCTTGTATTAGTCTATTAGAAATACTGGCAGATATCTGCACGGCAAATTTTGGTGAATGGTCATTTTCTACTATTGGACTGACTATCGATTGCATTTAATTGGTTGAATGCCAAATTCTATAAGATGCAATCAGAAAACGATGCACGAAATTCCCATGGAGTTGCAGTATAATCCACCCATGTACGTGAACGGGCAGTGCGGACACAATCGGTTAAATACTAATCAAAGTGCAAATTAACAGGTCTATCGGGTCACAAAGCATACAATAACTGAACAACAAGTTGTTACAACAGAGCTAAGGTAGTGAGCAGGCCAGTGCAACGACGCGCACTTCGCAGCCGGAGGAGAGCAAAATCAGTGACCTTAGAGTGGCCGTGAAAAATAAGCCAACCAGTTGTGGAACGGGACGGCAACAAATTCTCAGGCGTGGTACTAGCAAAGGCAACTCCAGGGTCCACACATCTAGGCCGCAAAAACTTCAGCGTCATTCTAATCAAATATTTTTTATGCACAGTAAGTTGTTCGACTACATCAAAAATTAGTGGGCTTTAGGGTAGCTAACTTGACGTTGGCAGAAACAGCAAACAGTGATTGCCATTTTCCTGTAACACACAGATGACTTGCAGGCGCGAAAATGTTACTTGCAGTTTAGTTGCTATCGTCATAAGCTAGCGCCGAGAGCAATGCGTGTGTGTGTGTGTCTGCACGGTTCTGGTGGACTAGTTTTTTTACAAAATGGTTTTTTGGTTTAAATAAGCAACCGAGTGCCTAATGATGGTAGGAGAAACACGTGATGGACGCCACTAAGTTGCAGCAAAACTCGGTTTGTCCAAAAACGGTGCGGACAGGCAAGACTTCACCTTGGTCGAATCGGTTACTTGCAGCGGACACGTTAGTAAACATGATCCGGCACTGGAATATCCTTGTAAAATCAAAGCATTTAACCAGATGTAAACTAGTTTGCTGCGCTTAAATGCCGAAAACTGAAACAATAAGGATTTAAGGCAAAGTACGTGGAGTGGCATGTGTTAATTCAGAAAATCCAAGCACCAAGCTTCAGGCCAGAATAAAACAGCATACTAAAACAACAGGCAAAATGCACCCTTGCTAAAAGGCAAGTCAAAAACACGAATAGAATGACGAAGACAGTAGGCCTGTGCCAGTAAGGCCTTACCAGAAGATGGAGATTCTCTGGGGCCCTTGGCGGAAACGCCGGAGACGCCAAGGCTGGGACAAACGGGCACACTTTCCGGATTGACGACACCACCTAGAGCCGTGGCTCTGCATTTACTGCCGGTGATATCGATCGCGGTGTTGGCCTGCGTCGCAGATAGCTCCACTGAACGCGAGGGCTGAGGTCGGGTAAGGTGGTGCTCTTCCAAGCCCGAGGAGCGCTGGTACCTCGAGGCACGGTTCACGACCTGCGGCCTGGTGTGGGTGCGTATTGTTATGGGACCGCCGTAGGGTGTGATGGGGAAAACATGAGTTGTCCCATGATTACTGCTCACTGCGAGCCAACGTGAGTCCTTCGAGAAGCATGCGTCGATCGTCTATACAAAACAGATGAATGATTTATTTGCATATATTCGCGTCCTCAGTAAAGTCAGCCGCATTACTGATTGACAAAACCAGTACAACTCACCAGCTGGGGATTGACATTATTGGGACAGCAAGAAACCAAAAAGAACAAAAATTTCCATTCTCATTATGGAACAATGCAATAAAGTGGTACAACCGATATTTATGAACACGCTACAACACAGAAAAGCACCCGATACAATCTGACAAAGTTCAAAATCATACTTGGAAAAACCACAGAAGCCAAATGACTGTCCCAAGAGATGATGACTGCTTCTTCCCCCCCCTTTTGGTGGCCGAAGTGCTCCACTAAAAGTGGCACTACATCCAGCAGCTGAGGACATGCAAAAGACATGAGAAAGGTATATGCTTGGTCGATATTTAAATACCACAGTCCCCTTGGTAAGAGCGCGTTAGCAGTGGTAACACACAAGCCTTTCTTAAATCTCTCCACACAATATAACTATGCCTTGGAATAGATTCGTTACCCCATGTCTGGTTCCAATGCAGTAGACGCACCAGCCGTCGAGGGAAGTAAACTGCAAGAGCACTGTCTCCGCACAACTGCACCACTGATGCACGGATACAAGTCAAGTTGTGCATTGGTTTAGAAACCAGACGCCAAGAGCAAGTCTCAGCGTGATGGCTATGCTTGCG